AGAAAAAAAAAAAAAAAAAAAAAAAAAAAAAGTAGTGATTCTTAGGGTTAGTCTATTTTTAAAAAATGCTTTGATTTCTTTCTTTCTAATGTGCTCAGCAAAACTTTTCCAGCTCTTTCAGGTAAGTTTTCATCTTGTTTAAAAAAATCATGTTAAATAGTTCTTCCTATGTTTCCTTTGAAAAGTGTTTTGTAGAGGTCAGAACATTCTTATAGAGAGTTTGATCTCTTATACATACTACTGTAAAATTAGAACCTTGAAAGATTTTTAAATACATATGACTTCAACAAGAAATGATATTTGACACATTAAAGTATAGTATTAAAATGGATGATCTGGTACTTTGTGGGCCAAAGGAAAGTTTTAGAGTGAACAGTTTATCCCTAGATTCTTGATACCTAGTGGAGGACCATAACTGGTGGCTACTAGGTGGAGAAGTAGCAACTAATAAAGTTATAGCCCAGACTAAGGTAACTTTAAACCCTCAACTCGGTGTCAGATTTGGGTTTTTGTTCTTGGGCAGTTTGCCTTAGGGAACTTGGTCAGCCATCCACTTCTTCTTAGAAGTCAGTGGGTAGTGTTGGTAAGTCAAGAGGAATTTGCCTCATTTCTGGAAAGCATGTCGTCTGATCATCAGGAGCTAGCCTAGGGTGTCCATGTTTCACCATCACCCTTCTCGCTCCCAGTAGGCCTGGGCACTCTACAGTTTTTCAGTGTTGCTCATAAATCATGCTCCTATGCTCTGTACTATCATTTGGAGAAAATTCCTCAGACTACAAGACGGACAAGAAGGAGATAGCCTGGTTCTTCTCCAAGAGCTTTTATTTAGAAGCACAAAGTGGTGCCATATTAGAGACAAAAACCCTTAAAGAGCCTCAAGTTTTGTGAGAGGTCTCAATATCATCAACACTCATTCAAGTACTTCCTGCCCCGATCCTGCAACTTCTTGGATGATGCCCCTCGCCTCAGGTGGCAGAGCCCTCTCTGAGCTACCCTTGTGCAGTAGATCTCAGCTTTGCTCCACCCCACCACGCCAGCTGGACTAGAGCACAGTATTTGCAATGGTGTCAACAACTCCCTGTAGCAGTCCCCTCTCCATGAAAGAAAGGCACAAATAATTAGAAGCTAGAAAATCCCTTTCATGAATGTTGCTGGGTCACTCTTCTCTCTTTCCCTCATTTGGTAATCCTCCCCCAAGGAGATTTGTCACTGGTTGTCTTGCTGGCTGACAAATGTAGGAAAAACAAAAAAGTTCCATTGCTTTCTTTGGCTTCCTACCTTCTAAAACACTCACTGGTTCCTGAGCATAGACTATATACAGGACTCTTAACTTATGATATCTGACTTAATTAGCATAGCAATCCCATAAAGTCAATATTATTGTCCCTGTTTTACAGAAAGGAAGACAGAACAAGTGAAATACCAGAGGTCCTTCAGCCAAGGCGCAAATCAGAGCCATGCTCCCAAACCTACAGTTTTAATCTCTCTGTCCCATTGCCGCTAAGAAGTTTCCCACCAGATTCTAGCTTAGTTTAGTCAACATCGTACACTGAGTTTAGCCCTGCACAGATAAGACAAATTGGGAGAACCATTCCTAAGATGATGGGAGGCATATATGCAAGTGTGCGCTTCCATTATTTTGTATTTCACTGATTATAAATCTAGCCCTTTTAAGCTTTGTTTTCACCGTAGCAGAAAATCCTGTTTTTAGCGGATTGCCATGGCCTTTCACTGTGGGGTGTCTGGTTATTTGCCAGTACTCATCATCTGTTAAGTCTAACACAGAGGCCATGTGCTATTTCTCCTAGTTGGTCCACAAATCAGGATGCCATCCTAGTGCTTCCGTCCCTGTCTTTTCATAGTGGCTTCTTATTTATCCATTCAGAATGAATGCTTTTCTTTCCAAGTTGGATTGTATTCATTTTGCACAAGTTCACATCTTGGGTCTCAGGTCTGGAACTTCAGTCTAAATACCAGAGTGCTCCAAAAGTGTTAGTATTCAGCTCCTGCTGTACAAGGACATATGGCATGTGCCCTCTCTCTCTCACTCCCCAGAGGTATCATGAAACAGTCTTCTAATATTTTCCAGAGGGCCAAGAAAACAAAAGCGAGCTAAGAATGCTGTGAATGGCACACATTGCCTGTGGGTACATTCTGCCATATTTTGAGGGATGAATTATTAACATGGACAAGTGTGTTCCCCCCTTAATAATATGCTGTTACAGGCACATTTTTCTACAGCAGTGGACATGATAACAGGGTTGCACAGGTCTTCGCTTCTCTGGTCTGATGCTAGGGTGTCTTCGTTAGTGTACTATGGCTAGGTCCATTGAGATTTCTGCCTGTGCTCCAGAAGCGATTTTTCAAGCGGCCTCTGGGGCCCTGTGGACAGGCCAAGGGAAGTTAGTAGCCTGCGACTTCAGCTGAGAGAGGCACGCTTGATTATGAAGCTGTTTTGTGAAGTGTTTTGAGTTCACCAAGGCAATTCACAGAGCTGCAGTGTACTTTTGAGGGGTCAGTGTGCTAGAAGGTTCCCTTCTTATGTGATTGTCTTGGCCCTATGCAGACTAATGACATACGTCTATGACATGTGAATGATGCAGCCATGAGCTGTGATGATGTCCTAGGAAGGTCTTGGCTTCCTCCCAACTGCACTGTTTGCACCTTTAGTGATAAAGCACCAGAACTCCTTTAAAACCTTAAGTGTTCATTCTTCTCTTTCTCTCTGCTCCACCCACAAGCCTGAAGAATTGCTTACTATAATTTCTGGCTCTAACAATGGGTGTACACAGTCTCTAATCCATCAGAAATTTAAGATATTTAAATTTGTTATTAAATTAGTTGGCATCCACCTAGAAAATCTGTAGACTTCTCAAGAATCTCAAGAACCATGCACCTAAAATGTGAAGGCAGCTCCTTGAGAACTGGAAAGGTGGAAAAGTTCATAGACATCTTTGGATTAGCTGATCGTTACTCTTTTCTGCCTGAGGACTTTAGCACCTGAGTGTCAGCCCACTGTTGCTCACATTAGAAAGGAATTCCACCCTGGAGATGTTTGGCAAGGCTCTCTGGAATGCCTTGACTCTTCACTGTTGGCAACCACCTCCTACCGCAGATGGAGATGGGGCTTTATGATGATTACTTGGTAAACAGAGAATGCTGTTTACTGACCCCTCTTTGTGAGAATGTGGTCTTCTAGTCATTTTATCAACTGCAACCCTCCTCTGGAAGTTTCGTAAGTTAACCAACAAATGTGGAGCTCCTGAAGTCAGGCCACATGTAGTGTCTGTGGGGTTACCGAGAAAGACAAAGCACAGACTGTGTACTTGAACCTTAGCCATACACAAGGAATTACTGTGAAATTCAGTAAAGGCTCTGGTAGAGGAATATGCTTGGGAAGCTGAATTTCATTACCATGCAATCTTTTTTAAAATTATCAAAACAGAACCTACAAGGAAGAAAACCCATTAGTCCGGAGTACTAGAATCTTTGGTAGCCATTCCCTGTTTGATGAGCATTCTGCTTCACTCCCTTAGTAAAGCAGGAGTCGATGGAAGACTGGTCCAGGTTAAGAGTTCAAGGAGACAGTTTTTGCCAAATTGTTTTGGGTACACACATAAAGCTTAGAGTCAGTTCATGTTCATAATATTTAGAAATTTCGCTCTTGTGGCTCAGTCTCCAACCTTGGATCATACTTAATGGAAAGATGACCTTACAAATTGATTTCCCCTAGATAAGGAGGAAGATGAAATTTTCTGTTGCTGCTGCCTTTGTTATGGTGTAGAAGGGTTCCATAGAGATCAAGGATATAATTTCAGGCTGGGTCTGGTGGCACATGCCTGTAATCCCAGCACTCGGGAGGCTGAGGCAGGATCACCACAGGTTCAAGGCCAGCCTGGGTCACAAAGGGAGTTTATGGCCAGCATGAACTACATAGTGAGACCCTGTCTCAAAACAAAGAAACAAACACAAACAAAATGAAGCAAAAATAGGGCTAAGGATTTAGCTCAGTGGTGCCGCCGCCAGCCTTGCAAGCAGAAGGTCCCAAGTTCAATCCCCAGTACCAAACAACAATGATAATAATAACTTCAGGAATGAACGAGGAAATGGTTTGTGTTTTCACTAACAAACAAGATGTCTGGAATTCTTTTCCATGAACCAAACTATAGACTTCTGAGGACAACCAGCAGGCCTTGTTCATCTCTGAATCTACCAAAGATCTATGCTTCTTTCTCCTTGCTGAATAATTACACAGACACAACGATCCTCATAGTTCAGGGTACAGAGGGAAGCAAAGGTACTCTATAAGGTTTATTTCTGGCCCAGTGTTTTCAGTTAGAGTAAGCACTTACATTTGTATTCTTATGGCTTACATTAAATCCTGACACCTGCTTTCAGGCTCATTTTGCAGCCCTGCTAATTTCCTATAAAGATGTACTATACTTCTAGTAATTAAGAATTTTATTATATAACTTTATAGTTCTGCCTTCAAGGAAATAATTTTGGTAGTCCTCCATGAGGCTCATTGTCTGATGTAAAATACGGGTAAATTTAATAGAATGTTTAATCATATTATGAAGGGCTTTAGGGAAGGAAACCACAAGATCTTAGTGAACCTTGCAGTCCCACTCTGTGCAGACTTGCTCTTGGGACAAAGCCTGCTAGCCTGGCCTCCTGGGAGCCAATTTGCCCATGTACTTACTGGAGATTCTACTCCTTATCTGTCTAACTATGGAGGAGGATGCAGCCTTCCTGGATCCCCCACCAGCCCTTGGCCTGGGGTGTTTTAACATTGCAAGGGAAATGAGGATCAAATGGCAGACATGGGAATCACATAGCTAAGAGACCCCCTTTTGTTACCAGCCCAGGCCATTCATGCATCCATGTTGCAGAAGTGGCGCAGGGAAAAGCCAGCTTTAACTTTTGAGCCTTACAAAGCACCTTCTTGCTTTTGGCCCTGCCTGAAATTGCTGGTGAGGTCAAGGCTGTTGGTCCAGGTCTAGATTCCCCTGCCATCAAATGAAACATTTTACATCAGAGAGAAAATTGCTCATGGGTTCCAGTCTCAGATTGCTTTTTTGTAATCTTTCAGTGATTCATGAAAAAGCAGAATCCAGAAATCCTTCAAATTTTTGTTTTTCTCTTAAGACTGTTCAAACTTGCAAAGACTTCAGAATACCTCTAAGAAGAGGCCTATGAAAGGAACACTCTGTTACACAATCCAAGCCTTCTATAATGTACAGAGGCCCCAGGGAAAGGAGTAGTTCTATGAAATAAATATCATCAAATAAACTCAGTCCGTTGTCTCACTTGTCAAAAATAAATGGTAGGCAGAAAAGAGGTTAAAAGAAAAGTGTTTATTGGAAATATATGAAAGAAAAATAGCTCCTATGGGGTCCAGCAGGGATCCCAGAAAGTGGGGATCCAATGTGCTTTCTTCATTTTGGTCTTACATATATACACTGCTTAGTTATCCAGTGATCACCCACCATAAGTGGTACAAGTGGTGCTCTGGGTTTATAATAAACAATTGGGAGTTAGGCTTTGTAATGTAGAGTCTAAAAAAAATAAGTTACTCAGCTGGCTGAGTTCAAAGGAAGCCACTTACTCTGCATTTTAAAATTTCTCCAAGTCCAGCCTAGAGGTAGGGCAGAGCTATGAACTAACTTACCATATTCCCCCTAAGGTCTTTCCCTTTAAAGAAGGGTTCTTATGTGCCCATTCTCTCTCTCTCTCTCTCTCTCTCTCTCTCTCTCTCTC